ACAAAAAGCAACATAAAGACAAAGATACAGGAGACATGTTAAGTGCCTAAGAGATAAAGTTGTGGAGAATTTAAAGCCTCAAAACACAAAGTTTAATTGATCAATCACAGAAAATGAATACAGAATAGCATGACCGGCTACCAAGACATGGCCTTTCACCTAATCCGACAGACTATGACTGCGGACAGATTTTTCTACGTGGTCGCTTTACATTTAGAATCGCTTGCAAACCAGTTGGTGAAATTTCTCCTCAGCCCACTTTACCGTGTCTTAAAAACAGAAGAGTGCCTATTAAAGATAAAACCGCTACAGATTTTATGTCAGTAGTCATTATTTTGATATCAGTATAACCTTTCCCTGTTTTTTTTGTTCGATTCTTTAGATCAGTAATGATAAAAGCAGATGTGACAAGTGTCAATTTTTAAAAGAAGAAATATTTATTTAAAAACTAGGGATGCACGATATAATCGGCCCCCTATCGGTATCGGCCTGTATCGGCCTTAAAACTGAATATAGGACATCGGCCACCCCACCGATATTTAACCCGATATTTGATCAGCTTCTGAGTTTCTAAAGTCTAAAAAAAATAAAAATAAAATACTACTTCTTCTTCTTCCTCAAAAACTTCTTTTTTACAGACTTAAAAACTTCTAAAGACGAGGGAAAATATATTGATACATTAAAATATCCCAATATCTTCATATGCTGATATATTGCCATTTAAAAACACCATATCAATCTCTTTTACTAATGAAATACTGCTATATGTCATCGTTATGCTACGAAATCCCCCCAAAATTCACGAAATGTTGCCATATTTTTATACGTTGATATATTGACGCGGTATCGATCTATTTTACTAACAAAATCTCACAAGAATTTGCAAAATATCACGAGAGTTTGTAACAGAACGATGAAATTTCACGAGATTCTGAAAGTAAAATAGATCGACACCGCGTTTTTAAAAATCAGTTTGATATCAGCATATGAAAATATATTTGAGTATATTATTTTTCAAAGTGTCAGAAATGGATTACAAAACTGCTATTTTCAATGACTACTTATTTTTGTCCAGCTTTAACATCTGTATCGATATCGGTTATCGGCTACATGAGTTTTAAAATATCAGCATATCGGATATCGGCCAAAATCCCAATATCATGCATCCCTATTAAAAACAAAACAAAGAAAAAAATTAACAATGAATAGCAAATGAAGGGAGTGGCAATTTTTGTGCTCAATGTGCTAATGAATCAGCTAGTGCATGTTTGAAACTGCTAATTCTTATACACACAAGTAAAACAACTTTCAAATATTGGCCAACAATATCGACCAGCCGATGTAACTGTTCGTCTCTAGTGTCTAACCATTTGGTAGTTGCTGCCGCCTGTTTAGTTTACCTCATGACAATTTTGGGAAGTACCACTATCTGCCCCAGGAGATGTGGCTTCTGCAAGTTCTTGACTACTATAGGCTTCATCTCTGCAGCTCCACAATACAATACATCACAACCACATTCAGTCCTTGACTGGATAACATGACATGAATTGACTGAAAAGTTTTTGTTTTTTTCTAAAGAGATTATCTGGTGAAATGAGACAGAAAACAGATTTCCTGGTGAATTAGTGCATAGAATTAAATGAATGGATTGGTTGGTCAACGTCAAAGATGATAGAATGTGGTGGGAGTGTCATCTTGCTGTTCTAGCTAGTTAGAGGTGATGGAAAGGTGTATATATAGAGAAGAAATTACATTTTTTTCCTCATGATGAAGTAAAAAAAGATCCTTGGATAATAGGATTAATATAAAAGCATCTTCAGTTGTTATTAGACTTGCACTGGTCAATCGTCAATGATCAGAAATTGGCCGATTTGGCGTGATCGGCCACAACTGGCAACTGGCAGCCATGATGAAGATGAAGAACCTATTTCAGAAGTGCGTTGCATTTTTGATTAGCTTCTTGGCCTAGGCTAGTTATAGAGGCTTAACAGCGGAGGATTAAAGGAGCATGGCAGGAGAACAGATAAGTCCACTGGGGAGCAAGAGTGCTGAAGCCAGGGGAGAGGGACTGTGGGTGGCTGTGGGTAGGACAGTGCTACATCGGAGAAGTCTGCCAGGGAGACAGAGCTGGAAGAAGCAACAGCTGGCCAAGGCTAGTCTCTAGGGGAGGGGTCGGTAACCCCTGTACTAGAGGCTCTTGAGCACTCCTGCTCTTTAGCTGCAATTAATGAAAATAGATTTTTTTTATTTGTTTATTTTAATATGGTGTGCAGAAGGGCGAACAAATATTTATTATGTTTTCCAATGCCTTAAACATTTGTATAGTAAATAAATTGAAAAAATAAATGTAAACATATATTTCAACACAAATTTGTGTCATAGCCAGGGATCAGTGGTCGTAGCCTGCAACACACATTTCAGCGCTGCACGGTGCCAGGCAAACAAAACTGCGGCTGTGTATCAGGCAATGGATCCCACTGGGAAAAAAAGGAAGATAGCTGATGAGAACAGAGGATTCAAGGAAGAATGGACAAACAATTTGCCTTCATTACCAATGTGAAAGGATTGCCTGCATTTTTGCTTTGTAACGAGAATTTGTCAAATAATAATAAAAAGAGTAATTTGGAAAGACATTTCCAGGGAACACATGCTAAATATGCAACCAATCACAAAGTTGGGAGTGAAGGAAAGAATCCGATTGCAGAATTTCTGGTTAAATTAGAGGAGCACAAAGATAGATTTAAGAAGTGGATTGAATCTCCAAACTCCACTACTGCTGCTAGTTTTGTTGCAAGCATGGTAAACCGTCCACAGATCAAACAGGTAGCGCTCTTATGCAGATATGTGAACTTTCTTCAAATTTTTCCCCAGATCCTCAAAATAAAAATAACACCAAGGAACCCTGGCGACCGAGGATGTGAGCTTTTCGGGGTTAGAGAGCTCTGCTCTGATGGATGTCAGTTCCTGCTTGGTTCGTCATGACTTAATCAACTCCTCCCAACAGAAACACATCCTCTATAGAAAGATTCCTTTATCGTTTTTCTGTAATTTTATCAATGCAACATAACTTAAGCCACGCTGCGAATTCATGGTTATAATTAATACTACGTAGTCCTTTTTTATAGTGGGTTAATACACTTAGATCCCGTGTTGCCATAAGAGGCTCATATAAGACTTTTACATTTTTGCAGCTCCAGACAGATTTGTTGCTGTCGTTTCATTTGTTTGGTCCAATATGGCTGTTTGAACAGCTTGGGTAGCGGACCCCTGCTCTAGAGTCTAACTGGGGGAGATGGAAGAAGGACAGCGGTAGATCAGATAAGCCTCCTTGGTAGACAGAACGGGGGACAGAAGGTGGAAGCTGGTCACTGTCTGAGCTGTAGGTAGGATGAAGAAACAGTCCTTCTTGGGCTTTTTTTTAAAGCCGCCCATAAACCTCTTAAAGAACAGTCCCCACTTCATCCTTTCCCAACATTGTTTTCTCTAGCTTGTTTCCGCAGCCTCCTTCACTGAAGCAGTTGTCAATCCACGACACTTTCTCATCTCTTAATTCCTTTACCTAATAATACAATACAATATAAGACAACAGCATTGAAGAATTTATGAATTTGATGCTGTGATTGGTGTTCGGCGATATCGGGATTGCCAGATATTGATGTTGGTGATAGATAATTGGTGATTGACTCCCAAAATCCTCATCAGTGCATCTCTGGTTTTCATCCTCTCAAAGTTTAGGCCAAAATCCTACTGGTAAAATGGATATTTTAAGTTTTTTTCTGAAAAAAATGAAATTGGGTGAGAATTGTTCTATAGATGTATAAATGAAGTAAAGGGAAACCATAAACGGACTAAGCTGCACTCTCAGTAGTTGGATCCTTAAAGTATTGGCTTTATAATATGGGATGATATAAAGTTTTCTTAAGTAAAAAAATAATAAAAACCATGCATTGCAAGTTTTTGGTTGTGATTTAACAAAACATAAAAAAGCAATGAGAACGCAAAAACTTTGCCAAAGCAAAAACCAACAAACGCATTTGTTCACTGTCCAGCTGCGTCTGATGAAATGACCAGCCTGCCGTGTCATTCACAATCTCTGCGGTAGCGGCTGAGACAGGCAGTACAGCTATTCTATTGAATCCGGATCGAAAAGTCATGAAGCAGGATCTCTGACTCATCAGTTCTGCGACGCTCCGGTTTCACGCCCCATGTGATTTCCAGGCAGCATGTAATCAGCTGGGCAGAAAGGGGGGAAACGGAAAACCACAGCAATACTTTATTAGGGTTTTTCTTTTTATGTTTACCAAGAAATAAAAGTAATAGAAACATTCACAGCCGAGTAATTTCCCAGTCCAGTAAACAAAGGAATTGGACTGAACTAGTGCTTGTAAAATCGCTTACAGAATTACGGGAAAACCTGCAGGTGAGGGATGAAGAGAAGCCACGGGGAGGGCGAGAGAAAGGTGCTCGAGTGGAGGAGGGTGGATGCTGGGATGGTGGATGGGTTTAGAGGAGGGATGCTGAGAGGAGGTAGAGGAGAAGTGGGAGGGAGGGTGCAGGTGTAGTGCTCTGGTTTCCTGGGGGGGGGGTGTTAAATGCGGTGATAGAACACAGACAAGGACACTGCTGATCTCCAATATGCGGCTGCGCAACACTTTGATTACCGCTCTTCCTTGTTTTCCCTTTGCATTCCCCTCAGCCTGTCCCACTAATCAGATCGACTGTTCAATTGAATTTAGATATCATCGCTTTCTCCGGCATCTGAATTTGTGACATTTAGCAAGGCATGAAATTGGGGAAATACCTCGTGAGATCAGTGTTCAGGGGGTTGTGACCGTAAGTGCAGAATTTCTGTCCCATCAGTCGGATGCTGTCTTCCAATAAAGAGGCGGCGAATGCTGGGATTTGGAGCAGCCTGGGATTTTATTGGCTGGAGCTGTTCAGAGGCAAGTCCCATCTACAGGCTGGTGGGCAGGAAGGGGCTGGCTTTAGGCGCGTGTGTGTGTGTGTGTGTGTCGGCTGGTAGTGTTACAGCCAAATAGTTTGAGTAGACACTCTTTTGCTTCCTGCCCGCCCGCCTGCCTCGCTCGCTTTTGCTCTGCGGCTAAGAAACAGACGCTGAGAGAAAATCCCTGTCTCGGCATGGACCTCTGGCTGCAGCGCTCAGCAGCTCGTGAGGAATGACAACAGCTCACATGGTCGTTAACTCCACTCGCCGGGGCAGAAGGGAGAACCGCACTGGAGCCGACTGCTGCCTCCCCTGTTTGGGACTAAGACAGAAGCACACAGCTGAGCTCCAGGAACGGATAAATTGAGGTGGGAATGACTTGTCATACAGTCAGGGTTCCCCCCCCCCCTTTTTTTTTTAAATAGTTTTTTCTTAGTAGTTTTGCTGCAGTATGCTGCATACCAGTCTGGGTGGGGAGGGACTTGAGGCAATGTTTTATCTGTTTAGGAAAAAGGGTGTGAGACAGAAAACGAGGAAAGAAAAATATAGCAAGAGGAGGGGGGAATGCATCGGAGCTCTGGGAGCTCACCATCTCCACTGCTGTTTACAGGCCCCTAAATGGACTTTCTCTTTTAACTCCTGGGGGGGAAAAGGCGTTATCACAGCAGTTGACTTGCCCCCTCCTCAGTCCAAATGTCAGGGGCTCATTTTCGCCACATGAGATGAAGTTTTTCCAATTGCAAAGCCTCGTCATGCAACCAGTAGAGTTTTTCTTTTTCTTTTTTTCCAAAGTTCGTTGGAAAGATCTCGAACTTCACAGACTTCATTATGGTTTAATTAAGGGTGGCTCTTGATTTCTTGGAAGTCCACCCAGATTTAGTATTCCACTCCAAAACTGGGAGCTGGCGCGGTTAAAGAACTGGACGTTGCAGACTGCGTGGAAAAGGCCAGAGTGGTGTCATGCGCCTGGCTGCAGATCAAGGGGAAGTGGGTGTTTTCTGAAATGGAACAACAGTCCCGGCCCTTCCTGTTGAAAATAGACAGACTAAATCACAGACGTGCGCGCAGCCCCACCTCAAGATTAAATCTCAGCTGAATTTATCTTCAAATCACTTACTCATAACCCGGAGTTAAAGTATTCGTTCTATATCAAGCAAACATACATGTCAGCTGAACTCAAAACTGTTAAGCTAAGTGTGGTATTTAATGTGTTTTTACCATTAATTATCCTGAAAAGCCCTGTTAATCATCATATTTATCTGCGATGCACAATCCATCTCTGGCAGACGACTGCACTATAATTAGATGATGACTTGCCTGAGTCCCTTCGACTTACCAGAGAGCAGACGAGAATGCTTAGGGAAAACAAATCTGTTAAACGAGTGCAGGCGGTCAAGAAAAGCTGGAAGCCTCTCGCCTTTTCTCTATTAAAACGCACATTACTGCTCTGATACAAAAACAGGCCGTCCTATTTCAGGAGATACGGGCTGTCTGGGTCACCCTGGTGAAGCTAAGGCTATTATGATATGTGGCTCATCTTCCTGCTGACTCTGGAAAACGCTCATAGCTTAGAGTCTGCTGATCTCCCTCACCCATCATTATACCTAATGGTACTTGATAGAATTGAACAGAACAGGATTCTCAAAGCGTCATCGCCTTTGATTAAGCTTAAACTCATTTTCCATTTCTGGTAGGAAATGGAAAACACTGTCTACTTGTTCCTTTCGGTATTTCAAAACATCCTGCCAGCATAAAATCGTTATAAATGGAAATGCAGCTGCTTTAAAACTCTACTCATGATCTTTGCTGAGCAACTACAAGCATTTAAGATAAACCATCCTGCACAGATTGCAGACTAAAGGGTGGCACACCGGTTTTTAGAGGTCAGGGCAACAACTTTCACTAAAGACATCCCAGTCTCGTTGACTCTCATTCAATTAAACAGACTGACCAAGATAATGCCTCTGGCAGCTGGCCTTAGTAAGCGTCAGTAATCCACAAAATCTAACGCTGGGATTCTTTTCTTTACGTCTCCGTCTAGCCACTTTGGTTCAGGACAGTGTTGCTGTCCGGTGTAATGCGCAGAATCTACCTCTACCTCCAGTTCTTTAAGTTTCAATTCTTTAGGGTTTCATGCAAGGACATTTAAACCAATCATTCAGATTGAGAGGGATTTCATCTATCGGTTAAGGGTTATAGAAGGCGCCCTCCACAGTGGTGTCCAACAAGCAGACAGAAAAGTAAAGGCACAGTGCAGGCAAAAGAGCAAGGCATGCGCTATAATGCCAAATTACAATTATTTAACCTTGGCGAGGTGTTCAAAGCAGACTTTAAAGCTGTTCCTCCTGTAATCTTTCAGGATACCTGTAGGATCTCACTTCCTCCTCAATTTTACTACGTTTGTTTTATAAATTCAAACTTTTTTTGTGTTTTAAAATGCGCATTTCACCAAATGAAAACTTTCTGCCTATACTGTATAAAAATACAGCAGATATTAGCAGTATGCCAACAAATGTGCAGTCCTGTTCCTGCATGTGTTTCCTTATCTTACTACCACCCTTATAAAGGAGCCTTTTATCTTCATCCCTCAACATATGGAATATTTTTCAAGGACTAGAAAATGCCTCAAAGTTGGAAGTTGAGGTGACCCCAAAGAGCTCAGTAGCGAAGGTCTATCTGCTTAGAGTCGCACGATTTAGTGTGAAAAATGCCGCTTATTTTTAATGTTTTTTTTTAAAGGTGTAAAAGTAATAATTTGGTGTTAACAGCCCCTCTTTGCACATAATTTCAAGCTCGTCATTAAACAGACAACAGGCGCCAACGCTTCTTCACATGCTGACAAATTAGGTTAGCTCCATGGCAGACATCTTATGGCTTCTAAAAATAAGAAGGAATTAATTGCTAAAGGTCAGATCTGACATGATTCTTACCTGACTGTCTCTTTCTGCAGCGATTGGTTCACTCCCTTGGGGCACGGAGGAGGGGGGGGGGTGTGATGTGAAATTAGATCCCGCCTTGGAGAGCAAAAGCCCGGGCGTCAGTGTGATCGGGCAAAAAGGAAGCTTCTGATCTCATTTCACATGATCAGCACTAAAGCGGGACAATATGATTAACTAGTTTGAATTTAATCGGCTTGAAACGGCTTTGTTTTAAAAAGGAACTCTTTTTAATCCAGAAAACCCTCTTTCTAGTCCTTCGTAAACTCACTTAGCTTACTTTCTATCTGCTGGTGTTTAAGTCTTTTAACAGTGGAGATCTCCTAAAAGTGATGAGCTGATACAAATACTTTAAAATTGTTTAAAAAACGGGTAAAACCTTTAGTGTCAAGAAATGTAAGATGTTAGGAAGTTTTAACAAACCCTACAACAAGTCTTAGCTTGTTATTTTACTAATTTAAGAAGTAGGCCAAGCCACCATTTTCCATACTTTTTCAATACATATAATAGTAAAATAATACTCTTTTAACCACTGCTCTAGCTTTTTACAACACTCCTCTTTTCTCTCCTCCCCTTCAGCCCACAGTTACCAACAAAACATTTCCAGATGTGCCCAGAAACAAGCTCCCTGCTCAGTAGCTTAGTAATAGATTTCATACTCCCAAGCGAAAGGTCACTTCCTCAGCTTGTTGCTTTATCAATGTCCCCTCGCTCCCTCTAGATGACATTCAGATGCACAGACCAGTGCCTTTGCAGGCCAAGGAAGGAAGGAAGCTTGTTCTGACACAGCCTGCATGAATGTAAACCGACAGGCTGATGTCAATGAGCCGGTCCCTAATATGGACGGAGAGAGTGGCTGGTGAATGTTGTGTGACACCACTGGACAGCGTCATAATCATGTCTGGCAGTGGCATATGCATCTGTCTCAGTCTCTCCCTAGCTGCTGGATGGCTGCCCAGAGTAGTGCTGTGCTGCACTTTCTCTATTGGTCGTACCGCCATGTGTTTCTCTACAGGCCACGTTAGACCACAGAGCTTCTTTTCTGTCTCCAACCCGACTATTTGCTCTGGTTTCACATCTTACTACACAAACAGTTCTTCCATTTTCTGGGTTATATGGACTATTTTGGAAAGACTTTAGATGTCCAATGAGCTGGGGAGTTTGGCTTTACTGGCTTTTGAGTCTTTGAAAATTGGAGACGTATTTCCCATAAAGAATAAGATTTTAACATGTCAATAACATTTTTGGACCTATCCATTCTTAGACCTTAATATGGGGTATTAAACATTTTATGTTCTGTTGTAGTTTTTTGAGTTAAAATATTTAATGGAGTTAGAAAAACTTTACCCATCCTAGAGCTTTAGCTATTCACTTTTTACTTTATATTGTGAGTTTAATTTTTTTGTATTTAGTTGAAGTTGTTTGCTGAAGGGATTATTGTTTTACAAGATTGTTAGCATTTGTATGGAAATAGAAAGAAATACAAGACAACATATGCTGCTTAGTAGCGCAGTGGGTAGCACTGCTGCCTTGCAGCAAGGTGGTTCTGGGTTTAATTCCCGGCCTGGGGTCTTTCTGCATGGCGTTTGCATGTTTTCCCTGAGCATGTGTGGGTTCTCTCCTGGTACTCCAGCTTTCTCACACAGTCCAAAAACATGACTGTTAGATTAATTGGCTTCTCTAAATTCTGGCACACACTTCACCAGCACCCCTCGCGACCCGCTTGGGATAAATGTGTCAGAAAATGGATGGATATGTAAAGGGATAGAGAAAAAAAAGGAAATTGAAAATAAGCAGAAGGAGGGGGAGGACTTCTTTTGATAATGTTTTGATATTGTTGATAATTAATCCAATGACAGCCGGTTTGTTTTTTGTTGTCATTTTCTTTTATGCAACATTTTGGTCAGATAGGTTTTTAAAGCCTTAAGCTCTAACGTTAAAAGCTTTTTAAGTAAAGCTGGTGTGGTTGAGGATGCAGTCTGGAAGTATTGACGTTCACAGAATTAGTGCCCAACACCTTAAACCAACATCATTGCTCCAGAGACCAGGGTTACATTTGTTGTTCAGACTTGTAAGAGAAAAATGTTCCCATTCTTATTTGAAATAGGTTTACTTCCACTTCCTGACCAGACTGAGCTTCAGTCTGTAGTTAACACTGCAGGCAGGCACTTATGAGCCTTAAATGATAGACAGTGGAAATGTTAGATGGACAGCAAACTGATGAATACGATTTTAATCTACACCCAGAGAGCGACTGGTAGACCTTAGATCTAAAGTCTTATTTTGTTAAGTCTTTTTTTTTTTTTTTGCCAGAGTTGGTCAGTGTTTACCCTCATTCATCATGTCTGACCAACCGTCCTGTCCTACTGAAGTAACACAATCCCACAGCATGATGTTACCACCATTGTTTTTTTTTTTTTTTTTTACCAAATATGACTTCAAGTTTCTGTGAGGCGGCTTTAAAAGTCTCATTCAAATGTGTTAATAAGTATTTCTAAACCTTTGCTTCACCAGTTTCTTCTCTCTTCTGTTTTTTACGTTTCAGATCAGAGACAGAAAGTGCCTTTTGAGACGACATCCCTACTTGAAGATTTTGTCCGAGGAGATCCAGATATTTCTCTGCAGCCTCTGTTTGGTCGTCGCTTAGCTTCAAGTCCTGTTTCGTCCCCCGTCAGCTTTCTAGGTGTGAATAAACCCAAGCGAAAGCTGACGCCTTCTCTAAACCGCTGGCCAGATTGCTGAAGCATAAAGGCGCTTCGAATCAAAGAGCTGCAAACTTTGTGTTGTCCTAAAATGTGCCATTGTATCTTAAAATAGGGCCACCTTTTACTCCTCAACACCCACCCTCGGAAAAAAGATATCATCTTTCATAAAAGGGACGTTTTAAGGACAGTGGTGCAGCCTAAACAGGTCGTCTCCAGGCATGCCTGCATCTGCCTCTTCAGAGATCTGCAGATGAGTTTTACTGGTTGCTGATCAATCAGCCTGACTGAGAAAACTCCACAACAACACAACTGTTCACTCTCATGCTCAGGTCTCAGAGACTTAACCATCAGATTTCCTCTTTTTTTTTTTTTTTTTTGGTCTGCAAGGACAAAGCACCGACCTGAAGCGGGTTATTTTTAGCTACATGTTCCATCGGTTTTAGCTCTTGTGCATTAGATTTTTATTTTTTTTTGCTTTGTTTGTTTTTTTTTTTTATCCACTCCGCTCAGGATAGCTTCCTCCCTAAAGCGGGCAGCTCCTCTCCTTCCCCAGCTCCACAGCCATCAACCCTCGACATGGCTCTAAACATAGCCTCTATACGGGACACAAAATGGCTGACCCTGGAAGTGTGCCGGCAGTTTCAGAGAGGGACGTGTTCGCGCAGTGACGAGGAATGCAAATTCGCCCACCCTCCCAAAAGCTGCCAGGTGGAGAACGGGAGGGTGATTGCCTGTTTTGATTCGTTAAAGGTACGTACTTGTATATAAGTTTAGTTTCTATATTGCAGATCAGCTTGGAAAGGAGCACTGATCGAAAGACATAAACACAACTGACACCTTTATGGTTGGTGTGTATAGGATGTCTGCTCAAATTAGCATGTGTGTTGGGTCTCCCCCCTGTACTCAGTCAGCAGGCGACTCTGACCTATGAAGCTAAAGGCCAGAGAGGTCTATTGACACCAGCCACCATCCGTAAACACATCTTTATTTTCTTTTTTATAAAACAATGTATCCAATCTTCACATAACTTGTCTGTTATCTGCGCTCCCAAGCTTACATTTCATCTTTTTGAGTCCTTCCAGGGCTTCTATTCTCGGATCCATCCCAGCTGTCAGAACGTTTACAACCAACAGAAACATTTTAAAAGCAGCAAAGCCTTTTTTGGAAAACATCTAAATCTCTTTTTGGTCTTTATTCTTCTCTAGTCTAGAGTATCTTAATGTATTTTAACACCAGATATTTAGATATCGCCTCATTCGAGGTAGGCGCCACATGCTGTACCGAAGAGCAGCCTATTTCCCCCCCCCCCCCTTCTTTGTACTGCAGATGTGACAGTGATAAATAGCCAAAGAAACCAGAGCAGAACACTAGAACAGTGTGGAGTTGTTATCTTGTCTTTTGAAGCTGCAGCCTACACAGTAAAAAACCACAGATGTTGGAATTTCTGTAGAGGATTTTTGTTGACTTTTACGATGAACCCCAGTAAAGTATTTTGATTCACGTATTGCATATTTTACTATTCAAAATGGGAAAGACCAGCTAAGGTGGGAGATCCATTGATCTTAGCACTAATGAAATGGCTTGAAAAAGTTTTTTTTTTCCTTTTTAACCCAATCCTAAATGATTTATGGCGCAACCAGCTGCCTCATGAAGCGACGCTCCTTTTAAATGTGAGCTGTTATGTTGTTGCAGCTTAACAACCCCACATCTGATTTGTCATTGCACCGAGCAGATCTTACATGTGCCCTGTGGACAAGACATCCACACTGTGAAGGACAGAGAAGCTTTATTTTTTATTTTATTTTTTTAAGGGAATGATTAGGACCCTAACATCCCTCCTTGAGAAATGGCAGCTCTGCCTGAAGGTTTTTAATATCCCTTTTTCCTTCTCATGCCTTTGCGATATATACCGGAGAATATTTGATGCATTTACTGATCTGATTTGCTAGATTTTTTAACTCTCCTCATTTATCATAAAAAAAACCCATCCTTCTCTTTTGTTCTGTTTCGTATTGCAAACCGGATCCTCTTTTATTTTACCTCCAATTTGTCCCCTCAGTCACCAAGAGTCTCCTCCTGACAGCAGAGAGAGTGAAATCTTTATTAGGCATTAGCAAATGCGTCTCTCTCCACGCAGGGACTGATTTTCACCCCATTACGCCCGTATCATCTTCCCGGGTCTTCTCATCTGATAGTGTTATGGTGGTGGGGCTGTGTGTTGCCAGCCGTAACTTGGCCACAGATTACAGGCCTCCTTTAAGAGACAAGGAATGAAAGGTAACTCAAGAAAGTAGCAGACTAAGAGGTGTTACTCTTGTCCTCCAGCTACAGGAAAGCACGCCAAGTGAATGAAGCACTTGTTGTTTTCAGGCTAATTTACTGCAAACTCTCCGGTGACCACAATGGATCTTTAACACTCCTACTGCTTTTTCTCCACCCAAAGTTAGCCAAAAGTGCAGGAATTATCTCCTTATATAGGTGTGTTTGGAGAGAAGAAGGTGTCTTCTGGTAAACATCCACTCACTTACATTGAGATCCTCTAAAATGGCAATTTAGACCTTTACTTTGCATTGTACGTTCGGTTGCTTTGCATGTGCAGAAAGATACAGACCTGCACTATTCGCTTTTATGCAAACCTGATCTATAAAGTTTATGGTCGTTAGTGACAGTTCTCTCATTTTTTTCCCTACTGGATATATGGGGGGGCTTAAGAAAAAAAAACAAACAAAAAAACGCCTCTCCTATGCTGCATTTGTCACTTTTTAAAAATAGCTTAACGTAGAAGTGTTAGGGTGGTGTAACCGTTTAGCCAGGTCTCTTAAATTCCCCAGTCCACCATTAAAACCCACTGTGCTTTCATTTTTATCCATTATATATTTAGCAGTGGGAGTATTTTTGGAGGTTGACACACATTTGAGCCGTTAGAAGCAGTAAAATTGCATGCAAATCCAACACGTCTAGACACAGGTGCCAGGGTCCCTAATAAAACAGGGCATTGAAACGAGGTATAGCAATGCACTGCTGTTTAAGAGAATTACACGCACTTTATTTCCATTCTGTAAAGTTATGACCGCAACCTAGGGGTGCTAAAAATGTAGAAAGTGTGGAGGGAGAACATTCATCAGAGCAGCAGCCTAGAAGCTCGTGGTTAATCTGGAGAAGCTCCAGAGATCCAGAAATTGGATTTGGAAATCTGTTAAGCTATTTTTTCGTTTAAAATAAAAAAAAGAAAATGGAGGAAAGCTAATGCCACAAACAGCAAACCCCTTATAGGGAAACACGATAGAGGCAGCATCATGCTGCAGCGGGGATGGTGACGCTTGTCAGTGCTGATGAGAAGAATGATTGATCCATTACTATGAAAAGGATTTCATATGCGTTGAATCTCTTTCCGAGAATTATCGGACGAAACTCAGGAGCTTTAGGCGGAGTCGGCCAAACTTCCTCACGACTTAGGTAATCGTACCCGCACTGCACCGTGGCTGATGTGAGTGAACACATTGATTTTTAATAATATGGATTTCTTGCAGCTGGACTACAGTTGCGCAGCGTTCAGTATCTTTGCGGCCATAGGGGTTTTGAAGGATTTGACGCTTGAATTGAGCCTAAACTTCTAGGAGGAAACTGACTCTAACATGCAACCAGATCTGCCATACAACGGTTTTGATCAAAGCAGGTTTATTTATTGAAATGAATTTTTACCACAGTAGATCTTTAAGTGATTTAAAGGATTTTTCAAAGACGTGATTCAGCCTTTCTAGAGGAAAGAGGAACACTATAAGAAAATAGTCACTATAGACATACAGCTTCTAGAGATGTGCAAAAACGAGCCTACCTTTATAGTTAAAGTTTGTGGTTCTTACATGAAAAAAAAAATTCTTCAGCAAAGCACTGCTGCTCATTCAAACAATTCAAATGTGTACATTTCGCCTTTGGTCCCTCAGAAAAAAGCCAAAAAAACCTGCAGGGATATTTTATGACAGCTCTTTCCTTTAGGCTTCTGGGTACTTGTTGCGCGGTGACCATGGAAACCGTGTCAGAGTGATAGCTGTGGGCAGAGTGGAAGTGGGGGCTGCAGGAAATGAGACAGAATGCCTACCTTAATGGAATAAATGCAATCACGCCGGTCATGCGGTGATGTCATGTTGACTGTGCTGCAGACGTTAGCCTTTTGTTGACGCTTATCTCCCCCTCTCCTCTAGTTCCTCCATTTTTTGCCATTAGAGATAATTCATTGCTCCATTTTTTTCGTAATATTTAATAAACCATTCTAACTGCTTTTTATAGTTAAAAGAAACATTTGATTTTTGATAATGTCTGAAAATATTTGTAGCAGCTTAAATGTTTGTAGCTCAGACGCCTAATTATCTATTTTCTTTTGCAATCACACTCTACCAGGTTACTGCTTCATTTTTTTTATTTACACTAGATGATCTGTGAAGTCCCTGTGAAATACAGATGCTTAAAGAGAGACATGTTACTTCAAACAGTGAAGGGTTTCTGGTGGTTTAATATTTCTAAACCACTTGTCAAAAGCTGCTTATTTAAACCCTACCTGCCCACAAACTGCTGATAGGAAACCAGATAAACTTGTCCAGACAGAAGTCATATTGGAAACCCTGAAGCTAATCGGTGCCAACCTTCTATTTGAACTAGAAGTCCACTTCCCCTCCTCTGTTACCTCTTTAGCCCCCTTATATCTGCATGTTTTTGGACCTTTTTTTACGCTCCGTTGAACGTAAACTTTATGCCCATAGTCTTGCCCCCAACCCCCCCTCTTCTCCACTCCTGTTTTAAAAAGATGGGCTTGCCTGCATTCCTCTATGTAATCCTCTCCAAGCGGGCCACGCCCTGGGCAGAGCAAACATGTGGAGGGGAATGTATGCAGCGCAGCGATCGCTGGCGTTCCCTTCTGGGGTCAACGAAGCCCCGGCTGGATCCTGATGCGAGGCTGCAGAGGACTGGGTCTGCTTTGATGAAAACCCCTGTCAGAGCCCAACTGCTGCTGCTATTCAAACAATCCTCTTGCGGCCACATGCATGTACACTTGGCTTCTTTCTGCTACCGACAAACTAGATTTGATCTGGATGATCACACCCTTTCCACTTGACAGTTTAAATCTCATTGTCAGATCAGTTTTACCAGACATCACGTTATGGATGCACTGAAATTATGTGAAAAGGTTAAGTGTTTTTAACTTTTTCCTGTCAGAAGTACCATCTGGATTTACCCTGGATAATTAACTTCACATTTATTTTTTTTGAGACTTTGAAGTTTTCCCCTCAATGAATCTGATATACCGGAAAACTTAAAGTGAACCTCATATGCAATAAAGAGTTTTTACATGCAGAGTGATTCATTTTAATTACTTTTTTTGATGTTGAGGAATAAATAATTAATAAAAAATAACATAAACCAAAACTAAAGAAAATAAATTAAATAAATCAACTATGACCAGAATGTCAGACAAGTATGAATTACCCAGAAAGATTAAACTATATCTATGCTGCATATTGTTCTAGGAAGGGACACCCTAATACACTTTAAAGTCATTCATTTTTTTTATCAGTTGGTCCTTTTTTCTCCAGTAGGTAAATCATTAAAGTTTTTATATAGGTAAAAAAAAAGAAAAGTAAAAGCAGAGATGTTATTTGTTTTTATATTCTCCTTTAACAGCCTTAGCATCTCAACAACTGAAAGTTTGCACCAGATTTGGGTATAAAGGTTAGTCTGGTGTGCAGAATATGAAT